TCTGTTCGCTCATCTGTAGAACTGAGTGACTAATAGTGTCCACCACAGGATTCTTGTTAGATGGTCCTGCAAAGCAGTTCACAGAGCACTAAGAACGTGGTGAACACTCAGTCAGCTTTCATTCTTAACAATGGCACATGGACATTGCTGCCCAGTGTTTGAGGTATACGTGCTAATTGCAGGATAAAAATGAACGTTGATCATTTTCATGAGCAAAGGAAGAAGAGGTGAATGTCATAGGAGAGGTAGCTCACTGTAAATAAGGATTTCAGCTGTGTCTGTGGACCTTCAATTTGCCAGCGGTGTGGACAGCAAGAAGGCAAGAAGGCCAGACTGTTTAGCGTGGACTTCATCTCGTGATGTGGGAACAGGCAGCATCTCTGGTGTGGAATGGCATGCCAGACCAGAGATCTCAGGGCAACACCAGGAATTCTGCAGGCTGGGGATTGAGTGGTAAGCTGCCTGAACTTATATGATAGTAACCATTTATCTCTCCCCAACCACCCCACCTTTTTTTTTTCTTTTTCTGATCTAGACTTTGCTGTAATATTTCTCAAAACCTCTAAGGGGACTTTCTTGGTGGTCCAGTGGTTAAGATTCCATACTCCCAATGCAGGGGGCANCCCCGCATGTTGTTGTTCAGTTGCCCAGGTGCGTGCAACTCTTTGTGACCCCAAGGACTGCAGCACGCCAGGCCTCCCTGTGTCTCACCACCTCTCAGGGTTTGCCTTTTGCCCACATTTATGTTTATTGCATCTCATTTCCTGATACCGCCTTCTCCTTCTGCCCTCAGTCTTTTCCAGCATCAGGGTCTTTTCCAATGAGTTGATGCTTCGCATCAGGTGGCCAAAGTATTGGAGCTTCAGCTGAATAGGAATAGGAATAGTAAATGGGAATAATTGGTGGGATTTTCTAAAAAGGGCTGTATTTCATCTTGCCTAGAATGTCTGAAGAATGTTGGAATAGGCACTCAGCTGTTGCTGGTTATTAATAATTGGACATTTCTGGTTTTTTCTAATTTGACATTTCTGTTTTGAGAAAAAAGCAAACTGTTATAGGCTAATTGTATCCATTTTCTAAAAAATTTATCCTGCTGTGGTCCTTATGATGTTTTGTCTACAAAATCTAGGGATAGCACTCACCTTAGGATCCAGTTTATTTTTTGAATCCTGAGGAGCAAGGTTGCAGGCTGGGATCTGCCTGTCCTGCTCCCCCTGTTGGGTGACTTGAGAGGTCATCTCAGACTCTCTGGGCCGTATCGACTTCGTACTTAGGAAATGACAGCGGGGGACCTTCCAGGACCAAATGCTGGAATCCTGTGGACATCAGAGGCTTGTCCTAAACAGGTTATGTTTTAGTTGTTGTTTAGTTGCTAAGCTGTGTCCAACTCTTTTGTGATTCCCATAGACTGTAGCCCTCCAGGCTCCTCTGTCTAAGGGATTTTCCAGGTGACAATACTGGAGTAGGTTGCCACTTCCTTCTCCAGAGAATCTTCCTGACCCAGGAATCGAACCCAGGTCTCTTACACAGAAGGTGGATTATTTACTTCTGAGCCACCAGGGAAGCCCATTTTAGCCTTAAAGGGGAGTTTAAGGCAGTGAATCTTGTCCAGGAATATATCTATCCCATGCCGGCCATCTGGGGAGTTTGTGGACATGTTTTTGGTGGTCACAGTAATGGAAAGTTTTATCATCCATAAATTCCATTTCATTTCAGAAGAGTAAAATGGGCATTACCAAATGTTTGATATGAAAAAGGGGGCTAAGGGCCTGACGGTTAAAAACCTTCTCTTTAAAGGGAAGCTAATGATAACAATAGTAACAGCTTTATTATAATAATATTATGATGATGGTACTGGGTTGCTAGGTTTGGGTTTGGGGAATACAGGAAGAAGGTGTGCTAAGGGTTCGCCAACCTTGTGTTCAGTTTGAGCTGATCATGGGCTGCAAAGTTGAAAACAGGACCAGAGGCAACAGTTGGGGATGTTTAGAGAACAGCCTGGTGGCCCCTTGCCTCCTGGGTTTTCCCAGCTCTCTCTGTCCTCAGGGCTTCTGTGACTTCTGTTGGCTTCTGCTGGCTGCAGAACCATGCATTCACACGGTGTCTTCGTTGACTGAGCCACCTTCCAGAAGCGCATTCCTCCACACCCTCTGGGGAGCGGTAGGGAGGTGCCTGCCCATGTTCCTCTTAGAGAAAGCATGTTTCATCAAGCTCACTGCCTTTGAAATCTTTGGCAGGACTACAGAGAGCCTTTCTGATTGCAGCATCAGCTCAGTCGGCTTTTCCCTGAGTATGACATTTTCAATAATAATATTATTTAAAATAACATTTATTCTCAAATCATGGTCATGAGAACAGAAATAATGGATTTTATTAGCACACACCATTGTATCAGGCACTGTGTTGAGTGCCTTAATGCTTATAAGAACACTACAGGGCAGGTGTCTTGATTTTCATACAGAAAACCTGAGGCTTGGGGAGTTTTAGTGACTTGCCAAAAATCCCATGGGCTGCTAAGTGATGGAGGCAGAATGTGAACATACATGGGTCTGGTCTCCCTGGACCCGTGTGCCCTGACTCACTCTGTTGTTCTGTGTCTGGGTCCTGAACCATCGGACACAGAGAGGTAGTACAGTTTGAAAGTATCTGATTATGTGTTTGCTGTGGTTGTTATTTAGTTGCTTAGTTGTGTCCGACTCTTTGTAACCCCATGGACTGTAGCCCTCCAGGCTCCTTAATCCCTGGGATTTCCCAGGCAAGAATACCAGAGTAGGTGCCATTTCCTTCCCCAGGGCATCTTCCCGAACCATGAATCAAACCCACTCTCCTGCTGTGCAGGCAGATTCTTTACCACTGAGCCACCAGGGAAGCTCATAATTATGTGTTTATCTAATCTAAATGACCAAAAAGCCTTGACGTATCATGGAACCTCAAATCCAGTGATAAAGTTACTGGGGGTCTCCAGGGGCCAGGCACATGGTGGGGATCTGGGGCTGTGTGACGCTACTGTACTCAGGCCAAGCTGCAGACTCCTCTAGTAGCTGAAGGATGCCGGGGCCAAGGCCGGGAGAAAAACACAATTCTCCTGAGGATTTGCTGCCTGGATCCTTTCCCATGTACATATATTTCCCCGTTGGTCAAAGTTCAGGGCTACAATTCCTGTTCATTCCAGTCAGAAAGTTGGCAGCTTGATCAATGATTTCCTGAGCCTTGATGATAAGTGGTTTTCCTCTTTATGAGATACACTTGTATTTTGAAGGTTTCCATGCACTTTGGTTTCTTTCTAGTGGAATTTCATTCAAATTAGTTTCCTAACAGTGATGCTTTCCAGGGCTCCTGGCCAAAGTAAATGGTGCTAATGAGGAATAAACAGAAACTTCAGGAAAGTCATGTGCCCCTAAGATTCAGTCATGGATATGGGCCTTTGAGATCCTCTAGTCCAGACTAGATAGGAAATTTATAGATAAGGAAGCAGAGTCCCAGGGAGAGGGAAAGCAATGTGTCCAGGGTCACGTCGGCAGTTCTAGCTCTTTCTACTGAAAGCACTTTCACTGAAGCGCTGTTATCAGTTATTTTTGATTCCAAAGGATAGTATCAATTATTTTTCTAACATTTCTCCTGTCCGAAACTTAACACAAAATTCCAGTGCATAAGAGGCTGTTGGAACCTATGGTCACCTTATCTTCGACAAAGGAGGCAAGGATATACAATGGAAAAAAGACAACCTCTTTAACAAGTGGTGCTGGGAAAACTGGTCAACCACCTGTAAAAGAATGAAACTAGAACACTTTCTAACACCATACACAAAAATAAACTCAAAATGGATTAAAGATCTAAATGTAAGA